TGTGTGTGTGTGTGTGCTTGCATCCCTCCACCAGAGTGTCTTTGTGATTATTTACGATAGAGCCATGACACTACAACCGGGAAGCTCAGGGCTCAAGGGACACAAATTGATCTCTGATCTTGACCTGGTGGGAGTCTCAGAAAATGCTGAGCTCCTCCAGAAAAACACGTTTTTACTGCTATTTAATTATTTTTTACTTGAACTGAAATCGAGTGATTCAAAGCACATGCAAAAAGAAATACACGCAAGGCCTCTATTACTGTAACCACAGCGTACATTTGCTTTTTTGTCTTGATTCAGGTCTCTCTTCTGTTTTTGCACTTGTTTACAATGTTTGAAATCTGAGTGGTGAACTCTTTTAATTTATAAAGTTAACTGTTATTTTATTTTTTTTACACTGTATGAGTTGATCCTGTCCAGAATTTTTATTTATTTAAATTATTGTTTAAGTGTGTATTTTACAATTTACTTTGAATATGTTACACTTCAAACTTTATTGAAGCACATTTTTCCACAAAGATGTAAAGGGTTTTGTCACATCCATTAAAAAGAAACTTGAAATGTTTGATTGAAAATGGATTTCTGTGATTTGTTGTTTTGTATTTTGTGTGAAAAAAAGATTGTGGACCGTACACTAAAACATAATGAAAGTAATGGTAGTAGTAATATATCTACTAGCTTATGTTACTAGCCTGCTGTGCATACTTTCTGCCTTTCCTTCACCCACACAGGCTCTAAATGATCTACTGCTGTTTACATTAACTGCAGTCAGCCAGAGCTTCCTGCTCTGCTGTTCATAAATTAGATTATGTGTAATAAAAGGAAATCAGAGGGGGGGTTGCCAGGCAACACCTCTAAACACATCAAGGTTTCCCGTCACAAGGCCGTTAGTTTTACACAGCGGTATTTATCTCATTGTGACATGACAGAGTCCCACTCTTTAACCATAATCATTCTAATACTCAGACACTGAGGAAGGTACAAGCTATTCGTTACTTTTATGGCTTTGTGGTCGACAATCTAATTACAGGAAAGAAGAAAGTTGACCCATGTTTGCTCGGTTGTTATTGGAGCACAGAGCGAAAAGCGACGGGACTTTGGAAGGGTCATTTATGTCAAATTAAGAGACTATATTTGGCATGAATGATATGATACTCAGTAAAGGCATTTTGTGATTCATACCAAGTCTCTATTTCTAATACACAGTTCTTTGTATTTGACATTTCGTTATGTGAAAATATACAGCACAGTGCAAAAACTGATGGTATAACACTACAATAATGGCAAAGTGACTTCCGGTTCAGTCTTACTTTGCCAAACAGAGGCGTTAACACAAAACAGATGGGGTCCCTCACCCCATAAACAATTTCTGGGGGGTTTGTTGGGATCAACCAGCACAGTGCCACTGGGTAGCAGCGGTGAACCTTCCTCTATCAGGATGGTGTAGAAGCTCCTGGGTTTACCAGGTGATATACACAAGCATCGAACCTTGTGTTGGACGGGAGGCGGGTCGAGCTCTTCCTGAAGCTTCTTCAGCACTGACAGAGGAATCTTTCTCACTGGGTTGTCATCCCAGTCCTCCTTCGGTGCTTCCTGTCCCTCTCTCTCCGCATTTGTACCCCCTTCTATGTCTAAGGCTACACCGTCATCCCTGCCATTTTCTTTTGCTTCCCTGTCCTTCCCGTTTTCCTCCTCTGTTTGGTTATTGTTGTTCTTTCTGATGAACACCACTGGAATCATGTCCTCTCCTCCGCGCATTTTATATATGCAAACGCTCAGCTTGTAACAACATGGTTCATAAATTTCCTGAAAACACAAGAAAAAACATAAGATTTTTAGATT